GCAAGAAAACAAAAGTTATAGCAAAATTAGCAATACTGGTAACTACATGTATCTGTAATCTGAAGAAGAATTTTATTTCTTTACTTATCGCTATTCTTACAGTGCAATTGTAAAATTGTAAAATATATTGTTGGATGTATATTTGGCCTTGGGGCATCAGTATAAATAAATTCTATTATATATAAAGATAACAACTGTTTCTAACAGATTGCAAGGTTTAGCAATGAGACAGTAGAGCCTGGTGGACTAATGACATTACTGTGTTCACAATTCTGTAATTATATCACAAACAGACCTGCAAAACTAATGTAACTGTAGCTTCCCTGGCATTGAAATAGTAGGAGTGTCTCGCTTCAAAACCCTAGACTCCCCCCCCCCCCTATCTACTTTACAACAGTTGTACATGCTAAAATAAAAAATATAAAGAAAATACAAACAATATAATTCAATTCAAAATATATTATACCTTTTACTGTGCTAAAATAAAAATATAAAGAAAATACAAACAATACAATTCACTTCATATTATTACTATATCATGCATTTTACTATGCTAAAAGAAATATATAGAAAAAATACTAACAATACAATTTAATTTTAAAAATATGTTCCACCCAGCAGATAGTTTGTTATTATTAAAAGAAAACCTGTAAAAGACTCAAAGTGAACAGTCTTTGCTAATCGTAGAAGTATTAGTCTTGTATGAAGCCCAAATCCATCTCTATCATTATATACTTAACTGTGATACAATAATGAGAGATGATGCAAGACTACAAATGTGTATTTGAGCATGTTGTAAATTCACCAATTAATTCCTTTAAATTATTTATTATGTATAATTATGATTCAATTGTACTTATGGATGACCATTAGGATTCCCTTACAAAAAATACCTGAATGAAATGAAAAAAATTATCACGCTTTAAATGCTGAATATATTTTCAGTCTCTTTCCTCTGTACCCTCCCCCACCTCTTTATCCCCACATCACAGATATAAGGATGGGGTTAAACATGAGGAGCATTCTGGTTTAAAACTGCATAAAATGGTGACCATTATGAATTTATGCAAGAGAAGAGACAGTGCTAGAAATTCCATAGCAGATGTCCAATTTTCCTCAGCTTGATCCCATCGCACTGTTGATGGAGCTCAAAGGACTTGTAAAATTATAAGAAATTATTTTTCTAATTTTTAGATAATTTATCACGAATATTTAGTGAGATTCTGATCATAATGACTAAAGAGTGTAATTAGTCAATCAGACAATGGGCCATTAGAAAACATGGGATCAGAGTTTGATGATCATTTGCATTACCATGAACTTTCTCCATTTTGTCATTTTATTTTATTACCGATTCTTTTTTGGTTCTTAAATGTTAAATACAGTCAGGTTGCAGCAGAGCTCCGACCCTTGGGGCAATATCCCTTGCTTGACATGTTGAATTTATCGACAGACCACCTTATTAGTTTAGCAGGAAAAAGAAAATAACACAACAACTTGTTAGTAATTCATTTTGACCAGTGAGCTTGAAATCCTTTTGTTGCACCCTGAGGACATTTAATATCTTGCTTTATTTTGATCTATTTTATTCCAGTAGTGTATATTTGGAAAGTATAGACCTCCATCTTGTTTTTCTCCCCTGATCGAATCATCTAAAGTTCTAATAGTTGGAACTGAATTTAAAGACATGTTACCAAAATAATTACTATTTTAACTAAGTAGACAAGCTATTAAGCTAATCCTGTGGTATCTAGATAGATTATTAAAGTATAATTGTGCCCCTCCTCTCTTCCAGGATTCCCCTTAACCAAATGATTCTTTATGCGCTGTATTAGCAAACGTTCATTCAGCCTGACAATTTAAAATTGAGTATGTATTATTTGATGCTACTGTTGGATTTCTGACAATTTTTAGAATTTCAGAAATATTGAAATGATCGAAGAATAGGTTTGGGGACAAATAAGGGAGGTATGTTGTATAATCAAACTAGTTGGGGGTGTATTCAATTTGCATTAGCCATGCTTTACATCTGGGAAAATCACATGTCCCTTCAAAAAATCCTTTGAACAATTTTTCATTGAGAATTCATGCTGTGCTTTTCTGAGATCAGAAAATGTTGGCTGATAAGATTTGCGATTTTAAGTTCATGAAATGTCAGATTTATTCTCAGTATTTTGTAATTTGATTTTGTCGTTAATAAATTGAAAAAATTGTGGAATTTTTGGAAGGTTATGCAAGTACCAGGAAGGCATAACTCTTAACACCAAAAGAGAATCACTAATCCAGAAACTAATCCGTGTACATTTCATTAAACAAATACAAGTATCATTTCCATTCTAAATCCACATTTGCCTTCAAATAGTTCATGAAGCCATCAACTTTAACATTATTAAAAGTTAACTGCAAAGACAATGCAAAATGCCAATCAAAATTTGGAGATCTTCGTTAAGAAAACCAGTGTAGCTCAAAGTTAATGTTTCATGAAATCGTTTAAACAACCACAATTTTGATTTTGAGGCCAGCTTTCAAGGTTCTCATGTTAACCAAACTTCTAATCATAAATTGGTCGTCTTTTGTCTTGTTGGACGCAAAGACAAAGGGCTTAAACCCCTTCTCAAAGTAATAATTTAATTTTCCCTAATTTCCTCTCAATATCTTTGTTGATTTAACAAGATGTCTAATTTTCTAAAATTCTTATCTAATTTAGAGTATTTATTTTAAGCACTAGTCATTAATTTCTTCTTAATTCTGATCTATTTCTTTCTATTTTGTGTTTGCAATTTTAATTTTCACGAAATTTAATTTAGGGTTAACTTGCTTTTGCTAGTTAAACGTGAAATTACGTGTATGTCTCACCACATGCTTTTGTTGGCATCGCACATAGGATTATTGGTTATTTGTTTTTTTCCATGAATAAAATATCAAAGGATTTTATTTTAAGACACTATATGTGGTAGAAATAGAGAAAAGAGAGAAAGTGTGATGATCAAAAGTTTGAGAAATACACATTCTGCTTGCTTTGAGATTTGAAAATTGTGAAAAATTGAACCCTGTTTGGGATAAATGAGCAAAATAAGCAAAATAGAAAAGAACTTAAAACTTTGGGTTAAGTTAATCAATTAATAAAGCAAAAGTAAACGCTGCCACAAGCAAGTGTATTTAATGGTTTTATTAAGTCATGCTTCAATGGCTTAAAAAAGCAACAACTTTCGACATGGTCAATCAAAAACTAAACATGACAATTTCATCATTAGAACATTTTTTGCATCTAATCTGGAAAAACACATTTCTTTCTACAGGGAGGCTCCATAACTCACATAAAACCTCCAATTATATGTTTGCCTATAGAAAGTTTAATTATTTCTATCTCGCTAATGAATGTAGAAAAAACACTGCAAAAAATGACAAAAATTAATTGCAAAAGAGCAACGAGTTAAACCGGACTGCCGCACTGAGACTAATTGACAGATGATAGATGGGTTTATACCAAGTATGTGACTGTCACTTTCAAGTTAGGACTTTAAAACATCTGTGCCCCTCCCCTAATGACTCCCCCGTCCCGGAGATAGCTATTACACACAGTAAAACAAAGGCTAATTAAGCCGAAGATGGGTGTAAAATGAAATTGAGACAACGATCCATTTTAATAAGAATTCGGATCACTTATTAAAGCCTGGAGAGTGAGTCACCAAACTGGGAAAATCTTATTAAACAGAAATTATCATGTTGTGTAAGGGGTGTTGGTGGATGAAATTGCATTATGGCTATTAAAAAGTGAGCTGGTCTCCAGTAATTGGTGTAAACTTGTATCATTTGCAGTGTTATTCGGACCATTGGGATTGTTAATCTAATGTGTGGTATATATTCAGATAGTATTTTATACATTGTGATAGTGCAACGTGATATTTGAACATTTGTTATATTGGGATGGTGTCGGGTATTTTGGTATGGTATATTATATCACCATCAGAAGTGGCCAACTTTTTGTGGACACTTGTTCGGAGGTTAGGATTCAGCTGTCAGAGTCTGTAACAAATGGCAGATGGTGACATTTTGCATGTTAATGCCTTGTTATTATTAGTTTGCTTATGTAATATGATGGTGAAATTCACATATGGGGGGGGGTATATTGAAATATTTTGTACTGGGTTTGTGTAAGATGGTGTGTTGGTCCAATTATAGGTCAACTTATTTTCTAATCAAAAAGTATCTTCCTTCTTGTGTTTCCAATATAAAGGCATGATTCACTGTAGTGATGAAATACTAATTTCAAAAATCATGTCCTATCTAACTGTCTATCACAAAATAGCAATAATTATGACCATTTGACCATGCCCTGGTCTATCAATACCAATTACTGACAGAGTATCATAATCTTATGAAAAGTGACAGGGATGCGAGAATCTGGTATATATTGATCACGAACCATTAATCTCACTCAATGAACAAAGACAATGAAATCTGACGGATGATTATGAAAAGATTGATTTCTTAATTAGTGCAATCTGACAATGTAAATGACCAATTGTCTAATGAGACATTGACCAACCATGGGACTTGATCATCAATGTACATTGCCCATCCATGGGATATGCCCATCCGTGGGACATTGGCCATCCATTGGACTTCCATCCATAGGTCATCGATCGACCATCTTTGAGACATTGACATTGACCATCAATGAGACATTGACTATTCATGGGACATTGACCATCTATGGGACATTGACCATCAATGGGACATCGACCATCTATTGGACATTGACCATTCATGGGACATTGACCATCTATGGAACATTGCCCATCTGTGGGACATTGACCATCAATGGGACATTTGCCATCCATGGGACATTTGCCATCCATGGGACATTGGTCATCCATGGGACATTGTTGTTTTGTGAATTATTTGTTTGTTTTGTAAAGTGCTTGATTGATCAAGTGCTTATCTTGCAAATTATTTGTTTGATTTATCTTAACCAGTTTTCTTTACTTTATTTTCAGGTTCAATTTCATCTACAACTAACAGCATCTGGAAAAAGCGACAGCAAAAACAAAATAGACTAGAGAAAGCAGTGACCACCCTGGACTTAGTGTTCAATTAAAAGGTGTACATGTATTTCATACCCTGATATTACACATATTTTTTGAAGACAGACTGAGAAAGATAGAAAAGTTTTAACTACAGTGTTTCAGAAGATCCTGCTTTTGAACATACATCTGCATTTTTACAAATTATCAAAATGTCCGCTGAACAGCAATCATGTTTTGAATCCAATGAAACTGATTGTAATGATTGGATTTTATTCGACATGTTTTTATGTATCATTGGTTTCAATGAATCCATTGCAAAATATCACATGTATCTGTGCATTCAAGGCTTAGTACATGTGCATTCAAGACTTTGATTGCACAATAATTTTTTGGATAGTACAGTATGCTATTTTCTTAAAATATCAAAGTGAATTGATGTAAATGAGACGTCTCTTAGGGAACCATGTGGAATCTCGAACAAGACTATTGATGTCCTAAGACGCATGCTAGAAAAATCAATGAATTCTTGCACAGGGATTTCCCAATGGCTTAAGATGTTAAGATGCGTCCAGCATTGTCACACACGCTCATCTTGCAAACTGTTTCAAAATGATCATTTCATTTTCAAGAATTTAAAAATTTAAAAATAATTATTTAAAGTGACAAAATTCAACATTTTATTTTCATTTGATTTTTTAGGATGGATTTTTGAGAAAATTAATGATAATTATAATGTGTTTGCAATATTCCAATGAAGTCAACTGGATCAGTGACTCATTTTCAGAGCATTTTTGACAACTGGATGAGTCAGCCATCTTGAAAATGATTGATTTTTATCTCTGTTTTTAATATGATTCTTAATTAGTCACTCGGAAAATAAAGATATGTGTGTCGTAGTAATAGAACTCAAGAAAATGTTGACTTCTTTTTAATATGTGTCTGATCAAACGACTTTGGTAACTCAAATCTCCCCAGTGACCCGGTGATAGTATCAAGTACCCCATATTAATTACATTAAGAACATTTTGGAGTTGCATTCCTATGTAACCATCGATAGGCACTGCAAATCTTTCATTACCCAAGTATTCTCATTTCTATCTACTCGTTCATGCACTTGTGTGTATTGCATGTGTAATGTGAACTGAATTTAAAAGAGGAATATTACGAATACCAGCAAATTGTCCAGATCTGAATTTAAATTGAAATATGACCAGGAAAACCAAAAAAATTGTAATCTTAAGAAAACAAGGGTAGCACTTTTTCCCAGCTATTTGAGTTACCATTGAAAGTTTGAGAGACATTCTGTAGCGAGTTTGTAGAGATTGTTTGATATTAAAAGAAATATCCCCTAAAATTGGGGAAACTCTACAGACTTGAGTTCTCGTATGTACACGTGGCATGTCACTCTGATGTGTCACTTGAGTAAGAATAGAGTCCAGTTGAGTAAGAATTGTGTCACTTTAGCAAAGAATAGTGTCAATTGAGTGTATCAGTTGAGTAGGAATTGTGTCACTTATGAACAGTGTCACTGTAGCAAAGAATAGTGTCAATTGAATGTGTCAGTTGAGTAGGATTTGTGTGACACTTGTTTAAGAATAGTGTCACTTTAGTAAGAGGGATTCATATGGGAAAGAATAGGCTCATCTGTTGAATGATTGAGTCACATGAGATACACCATTCTTACTAATGTAAGGAATGTGTAACATGTGTTACAGCTTGTTACAAAATAGGTGGCATTGATCCACTGAATAAGGAAGAATAACAGCATAATTGAAACTGTGTCACAAATAGAAAGTATGTGTTACAGATCTAGATAGAATTGTGTCATGGACCAAATTAGTGGTTGCTCATTCAATGTCTGAATATCTAGAAGTGATTCTTACTTAAAGTACGATAAATATGGCTAGAACCATAGACAGTTCAAGCCAGCACAGGCCTTTTATCGAGTTAGTATCACTCTAGTAGTAATCTAGTAATCAGCTTCTCTGGTGTACTAGTTAGCTAATGCTGGCTCCTGTCGCCGCAAGCTGGGATTGAACCCAGGATCTTGGCATCAGAAGTCCAAAGTGCTTACCTTTACACCACAGAACCGAAGACTGTACACATCTGGAATATGTCATATAGCTAAGTGTATGTCCTATATTGAATAAGATGTTTATCACATCTGATGTTCCATCAATAGATAGAATCATGACACAGATAGAATTGTGTCCTAATGAGGCTGTAACTGTTGAAATATATCACAGTGACACTTGACACAGTGACACTCACATCTGGAACATCGTCACAAAGTGAATTCTGAAACATTAAAAAATGCATTGCAAACACAACTGTGGCACACATATAATTATGTCATAAAAGGAATTTTGTCGCACAAAATGTGTGCCGCAGAAAGAACTCCAGTCATGAATAGCATTGTGAATATATCGCTGATGACTATGTACAAACAGAAGCTCAATTGTCAACAGTTGACAGTGTGCCTGTTGATGTCTTCACAGGGTGAGGTCAAGGGTGAGGTCAAGGCCACAAGGGCATGGAATATGACTAATGTATGCACCCAGAGGGTAATTCTCAATGAATGTTATTATTGTACATTCAGAGCAGACTGAAGACTAAAGGCTTTTATAATCTAATTGTCATTCTGCAATATACAGAGGCATTAAAAGTTGACATTGTAATCCCTGTCTTACAGAGCCATATGACAATCAGTGTATTATCCATTTTTATGGTGCCATTTTTACCAAATTATGGTGCTATATTAATCAGATTATGGTGCTCTGTTTAATTTTATGGTGCTTTACCACCAGACTCTTATATCTACTTTTATAAGTCACATGACAATTTTATATGGATATTTTTTTATTTTTTTAAATATTTATTTTTAACACAAATCATATGTTGTATAATGGATTTTATATATATCGTGGTATATTACAAGAATATTGAATTCTGTACAACATGGTGATACAATACAAGAGATTTCTTAGCTTGTTAACGGAGTACAAATATGTGTTTTAATTACTTCATTCTCGTGAATCACTGTCCCGCAAACATCGATGTCCTAATGAATCTGTGATTCATCACATTTTTAATATCTGATAATGCTTGGAGTTCTTTGAACATTCCTCAATTAATCTCTGATTTGATTAGAACCGAATTGAGATTCTCCAGACAGTTTTACTCATCTCTTTATAAAAATGCATGTTGCCCTTGTTTGAATTATAATCAGTGTATTACAGCTCATTTCTCTTAAAATTTTGAATGAAATTCACAATTTATAGCATTTCTGTACAGTTAAGAGTGTTAACTTCATGCCTGATTGCAATATTACTTATACATTCCTCACTTTTCCATTCTATTTCATGTTTTGAACCATGTAAATACATAATCTTGCCTCAGATAGGAGATAGGCATGAAAGTGATGGTTTAAAACACAAAGAAGATGGAAATTCAGTGGAATTTGCAAGGAATAAAGTAATCAGATATTATATATGGAGTTAACACTCTAAATTGTATGGAAAAGCTACTTAATGAGATCGTTCATTCAGAATCCATTTAGGAAAAGTGCAGAACATGCATGATTAGGCAAAATATATTTTATCCATGGGGAGGTGAACAGGTTTCATTTGCTCTCCAAGAAAACAAATATCAAAGAAGATTACATCACTCATAAGTGTTCGTTTCATCTCAGAAATGAATTCATAGAGATGGATCACAATTAATAATCTCACATGTAACTAACCGTGCCTTTTATGTGAATATTAATTTGTGCTTAAGCAAAATCTCTTTTGTGAATATCATGTAAATCAACAGCATGTTAATTAAATATTTCAAGTTATTCATTATACCAACATTTTCGCACAGATAAATAAAATATTCACATTTAGTGATTTTCATACATGGCATAAATGGAGGTACCCTTTGCATTGTTCGACTTTCCTTCTTAAAAGAGAGCTTCACCTTTTTATAACTAGACTCTGCATGCAGGGTGAATTGGAGGTTAAAACACTCTTCCTTTTAGCCGGAATTGAACAAGTTACTAAAAATAAGAGGGTGCAATCAGAAAATGAGGTAATTATTTAAAGAGTTAGTTAATGCTTATGTTAAAGCAAGACACAATGCTAAAGAATTACTGGTAATGATGGCGATAAATCTTGAGCACTTTCCAATGATGAGTCAAATATATTAACCCCTTTGAAAAAGAATATTGCGAATTAACAAATTAGTATGAAAAGGGGTTGAATTTACAAAATTTGAATAAAAAGGCATGCTTTCAATGAGCCTAATTGTACAGTGTTGTAAGAAAATATTGTTGAGTTCATTTTAAAGAAGCTTTTAGAGGGACATAGACAATGCATTTTAACATAGAGCCACTACTGACTAGGGGTGCTTTGCGATTATCTACTTCTTCCCTGAGTCTTTTACTGTTAGATATATTATTATTTATTAGGTTATGCTGACATTTATGACTTTCTGCTTTGATTTGTGGTGTCATTGTACTTTGCTATTTCCTGATGTCAAGTTTGTGATGTCAAGTCAGTCTGTTCTTTCAAATGTTTTTCAGTTTGTGGATGGCATCATGTCATGGTATGCTGTGTCAGGATTGTGATCTCTTATGTGATGTTAGAAATGTGATTTCATTGTCAGATGGCATTCTTTACTGTTGGGCTTTGCTTTTACTGCAGTAATCTTGCTTCGAGTTTCTCTCCCGCCTTATCTACTTCACCACCTGATGTGTACACGGGGGTGGGGGTTACAAGGGCATATGAAACAAATGGCAGGAAGTGAAATGCCCTTGAACAAAAGATGTTTGTCAAACTACTCTTATCTTCGAATGAGATTGGTTAAATAGCAGTTCTTGTGAGCTTATTCTAGCATCATACTCTGCTTGATTGCTAGATATATAACTATAACCAATTAACTAGCACTATTTACTAGACCGTGTATGATAAGAGAAGCTGCAATAGCTGACAAGTAATTGGACATCAATACAGTTAAGTGATCTGAGCAGATTCAAACAGCTTAGCCAAATGCTTGATTGCTTAAGTAGAAGGGACTGTCACTTTGAGTGCATGTTAGGGGAAATTATTCAGTTATCTGCTTATTTCTAGGAGTATAGTACCTGTTGGATTGCTAGGCATATACAACAGCTTGTTGACCCTAATTTGTTTTCATGGGGGGCTGGTGGACTTTGTTTTGAACCCTTTGAAAGTTCAAGTGAAATACATGTATGTTCATTTCTTGGAAAGTTGTGTTCATTTTTGAACAGTTCCAGTGAAAATGTTGGTTTCTTGGACAATTCAAATGCAAAATGTTGATTTGAAGGAATATTTCTTGGACAGTTCAAATGAAAATGTTGTGTTTCTTGGACAGTTCAAGTGAAATATCTTTGGTTTCTTGGACAGTTTAAGTGAAACATTTTGATTTCAAGTGAGTATGTTGATTTATTGGATAGTTCAAATTGAATTTTTTATATCTTGGACAGTTCAAGTGAAAATCGTTGGGTTTAAGGACAGTTCAAGTGAAAATGTTGATTCTTGGAAAGTTCAGGTGAATCATTTTGATTTCCTGGACAGTATATGAAGAAAATTGGACAGTCTCAAGTATTCTGTGTAAATTGTTGAATATTGTAGTCAACTGGGTGGTCAATAACTGGGCAGTTCAAGTGATTTGTGTGGAATGCTCAGTTGATCAAGTATCTTGAAAACTCCAGGTCAGTATGACCAAATATGTAACCCTCTAATTTTTGTGTCACCCTATATATGACTTGAAGTAATTTTATTGAATTGTTCAGCTCCACATAAGTGGTGAAGTAGATAAATGGGGGGGGGGGGGGGTCTAGAGACTAGAAGAAATATTACACCATCGATCCATAGCCTCAGTGTGTTAGATGGTAACAGAGGAGCTTGGGTAAATCACAATTTTAGGCTTAGAGATCAGTATTTCGCTCAACCGATAGTTCATGGCCTGTACCCGTGATGTCCCTTTACACCGGTGGCTGAGTCGCTATTGGTAGTCAACTGCTTCATTGTGGGCCTTTCCACATGGTCCACCAGTAGCTGTCTGCTTTCTACAAGCGTATTGATCTTAATACTGCTCGTCCCTTGGCCTATGATCGCATTGGCTCTATCTATTTCCTTCTTGTCATCTTCGCAAGGGGGAGTCTGTTGGGTATCAGGATGAGTTACATGTTATTCTTATACGTACATCAATGTGTGATATCTTACACAGTCTAAGACATGGTTAACTACTGGATGTTGATCACTTTGTCTTTTCTTGTGAAAAATCCATTTTAATATTGCTTGAGACAACAGTTGTGTTAGAATAAGGGGTGAATCACATCTAATGTCTTAATTGTCTAACTACCCTTGATTTAAGTATCTCTCGTGTTTTATGTATTTCACTCTATTTCTAATATGCTATTCAATGATTTACCTGATTTTTGACATTGTGTTATAATTTAGAATTGTATTTATGACTGTGCATTTCTTCTTTCAATAAAAGTCTCTTTTTAGGATAGGGTGTATGTTTAATACTTCTACTGAGGAATTTTTATTCATGGGTAGAACCATGTCTTTGTAGGGTTTCTAACTTGTGTGCGTTGCAAATCAAATTAATTTAAATGAGAACTGTCGAATTTAATTTGCAAATTGCAGTTGTTAATAAACTAAGAACCCATGATAGTGAACCTCTTCTTAAACATGTTAAATACAAGTTAACTCATCAGATCGTCGGCCATCGAAGGGTGTGGGTTAATGGTGTGATACCAAGAACCTGTGCATCAAAATTATTGAAAATGCATCAAAGATTGTTTGATTTTTATGACTTACGCACAGAAGAACGCCTTCTTATTCTGGGCATTATTGCAGGGTTTCTGCTATTGTTAGCCCGGTGTAAAAGAAATTGTGGTGCCCTGGGGATTATGGTCCCCTTTCCTTACGGCCCTTACTGGCCCTGACTGTGTATAAATAGTAAGGGAAATAATTGTTATTAGGTCACCATATAAGTCGATAGAGAGTGGGACCAAAATCTGATAGGACCACCTACCCTTTTACACCTGTGTATTTTGTGGGTTTCTTCCAGACTGAAAACACGTTCTTATCGAAACATGGACTACCCTGCACGCAGAGTCTAGTTTATAAGATGAAGCTCTCTTTTTAGGAGCGAAGTCGAACGAATGCAAAGGGTAAACACGGACATGCTTATTGTTTAAGAAACTCCTACATTAGCAACTACCATGTGCGCATTATATTCTTTGCGATTGCTATAATATTATAGGCCAGGTATCATTGTCGATTGGCGAAACACCGGGGACGAAACAAGGTCTCCTTATAAATAAAGTGATTAAAAGGACAAAGAATTTCCAAGATTCGCATATTGCGACACAACTTGGGAGAATAAGATGTTATATGCAATTGCACGGTCCAGAAGAACAACCATATAAAACATCCAAACTTTTCTGTAGGCCAATGTGAAAATTGTCCGACTAGGTTCGAGGAGCTTCTTCATGGGAGCTTTCGGTCTAACGCAAGACCGTGGTGCTTGTATAACGTTCACCGCTATCTGTATTAACCAGGCCTGTATTCAATGATGCAAGGACGCACGCATCCTCAGCGTAAACCTCTGTCGGCTTATCTCCCTTCTACAGGTTCCATCTGGCACGTGACTCGTTCATATTAGCCGTTGATTTTTTACTCCCAACCCTCTCTAAAAGTTCCCAATATGGTCATACTTTGTCTTACGTATATCTCAGGAGAAAAAGATTTACGACACTGTTTTTGGTGTTAATTTACGACTCTGATTTTTGTTTTCGCGCTTGCGTGATCCATATCTCGAATTTTCCTCGTGATTTT